TATATCTATATCTATATCTATATCTATATCTATATCTATATCTATATCTCTATATCTATATCTATATCTCTATATCTATATCTATATCTATATATCTATATATCTATATCTATATCTATATCATCTATATCTATATCATCTATATCTATATATATATATATGGCATTCAGCTTCGTTCGGGTAGCCAGAAGCCTGATGATGGCAGATGAGATTCTGCCGAAACGTCACTACAACTTTAAAAGCACAACTACAATGACGTGGGAAAATACCCAAACAAAGCTGAATGCCATACATGTAAGTACCTGCGAAAACTTAAGAATATATATATATAATTTGTTTTCTTAAGTTTTCGCCATCATCAGGCGTCTCATGTGCCATCATCAGGCTTCTCCCAGAAGATAAGATTCTGCTGAAACATTGCTGCAATTTTAAAAGCACAACTATAATGATGTGGGAAAATACCCAAACAAAGCTGAATACCATATATATATGGTATATGTATATATGTATGCATGTATGTCTGATTACACATGAATGTACAATGGAGGACAGTTTGCAATATTATTTACCACAAAGCTGGAATAATATATTTATGTTACAATAAATCTGATTCATTTTTAAAATTATTTTTCAGAGTACAAATTCAATAAGAAAACTAGTGAGTATTTTTAAAGTACAATTGTTATTATATCAATCATTATTTAAGAATTAGTAATCTGCCAATTGTTTTAGTTTCAGGACAGTTTGTCCTTTCTTTTCAAGGTCCCATCCGGAAGTGCTTCTGGTCTTTGTTTTAAAAAACTTAATGTAACAGTATCACCATATGCAGTACTTATTAACCGCTTAGCAAGAAAGGTGAGTTAAGCTTTTGCTGGACTGTAGAATCCTCCTGCAAAACGTTTATTATGTAGACAATCCAATTCTTTGATAGGCATAAACTAACTGGCCTTAATAAATAAGAGGCTACTATTAATAGAAAGCCTTAACAACTGATTATCTTTGTATGTATGATATATCAACCATCTATATAAAGCAGATCTGAATTTTTACTTATTTAAGAATTACAGACCATTAAATATTAAACTAATTTACATTAAACTGCTTGGCTAAAAAGATGTGTTTTAATATATTTTCTAATTAAGCAAAGGAGCAGTCAAAGTACACTATGGAAGTACATTTTATAGTTTGGAAATGGTCCAAAGAGCAGGGTAAAGATTTAAAAATTATTTCTTTATTAAATTTTACACTGCCCATCTTGCCTAAATGACTAAGAACAAGTTCATAACAAAAAAGCAGTCCTTCAGATAATCATCCCCTAAAATGGTTAGGACTTTAATAGTTTATTCAATTTTCTTAATTTGTGTCCAGAAAGCAAACTGGCAATTGGTTTAAATTTTTTAGCCTCAGGTCTGAATAAATCTTATATAATATGTTATGAATATTAATCTAATTTGTCATGATTTTTTAAAAACTGTAATAATGCCTTTTCAAAAAATATTCCCAGTTCAACTTTACATCTTTAGTATTTACTTTAATAAAAAGAAAATCCATATATCTTCAAATTTGTTCTTCATATTTTGTTGATGTTGTTCTGGTGTTGGCTTTTGTGGCCTTAATCTCATTCAACTATTCTCAAAGTTGGTTTAATTTTGCAGAAAAAAATAATACAATCACAATAGGATTTATAGGAAAATGAGGAATCACTAAGGATACTTTCTGTCAGAGTGTTTGCAGCGTGACTACTATTGTCAGACAACCCAGGAGCAAAACACAGGACATGAGGCTTTGTCTTTTACTGGTGGTTTATATACAAGACTGCTATATACATACATACAACTGTTAGGCACATACCAGGTAATCAATCAATCTTCAACTCTACCCAGAGAACTACAATGGAGATAGAACACGAAGAGAGAGAGGCACCCTTTCATGGCCTCCCTTATATAGACAGCTTCTTAAAGTGGCAATAGCCCTGCTGACTCATCCTCACTGCATTTACAGCAGCCTTACAGCAGCTGGTCAGCTGTTAAATCTTCATTAGGTTAACACAGGGGTCTTCAAACTTGACAGCTTTAAGACTTGTGAACTTCAACTCCCAGAGTTCCTCCTCCAGTCATGTTAGCTCAGGAATTCTGGGAGTTGAAGTCCAGAAGTCTTAAACTTGCCAAGTTTGAAGACCGTTGCCTTAACACTTTTCATTTATATTCCTCAACCCAAAACGATGCTTCCTTATCTTTTGTGATTATAATGTTGCATTCATAAGAGATGCTAAAGAAAACAAGACCTGCTCTTTGTGGTTTGTGTTCAAGACATAGTTATGGTTTATCAGATACATGTCAATAGTCTAGGTAGCTTTGGGGTAGAATTAAGTAGCTACATATTTTGTAGTTAATACATAGCTCAAAGCCCTTACCATACTTGCTAAAAATAATTCATTTTTGAAAATATAACTTAGGAAAAAGTGTATTGTCAGATTTAAATATTGTGAAATTGTTTGGAGATTTGAGAAAATTCTTCTCTGAACAGTTTTCAAAAGCATAGCTTGGGAATGATTCTTTTAATTCCTGCAATTTTTATGGATTATTTCAGGTAATTGTGAATTCTATAATCCAACCTTTGCCTTTCTCGCAAGATGGCATATGTATTCAGGACACTGGAGCTATGTATGTAATCAACACACCAGCTGGAATCAGTATTAAATGGGCTCATGTTACAGGCATTATGGACATCCAATATGGCTTTAACTCGAACGTATCTACAAAGACAGAAGGGCTCTGTGGTAAGAATAGACATAATAATATATTTTGTTATCCTGACTTTAAACTTTTAAATTTTTAGACCTAAATTTGCTCACTAATGTCTTCTTTTCTAAAATCTTATACTTCTCTCATCTCAATTCCTTCCATGGCTGCCATTTAGTTTAGGTAAAATTATCACAGTAAATTGTTCTAACTTACTTGGGGGAAAGAAGAAACGTTTACTTTTTAATTAGGTGAAAGCCACAGGAACTTTCAAAGTCAGCTTTCACCAATTGTGCCAATATGACATATCCAATAAATTGTTCTTTGAGGAACTTGACTGCCTCAGAGTTCTGTTTTCTATGGGTGCATTACTTGGAACGGTGACAACACTCTGGTTCTTTTTTAAAAGTAAAAGATAGGCAGATGGATGCAGGAAATCAAAAAATGCATTCTTAAACTGATTATATCTTATTTTAATAGTTTTTTTTAGTTTTTAACAAACGGATGAGAAGGTTTAAATTTGTTTTTCTCTCTTAGAAATGTAAGGCTGCTTCAATCATTTCATATATTTTAAGTATATGTTTATTTTAAGGTGTCTGCAATGGTGATCCTTCTGATGACTTGAAAATGAAAAATAGGACAATAATTACAAATATGGAAGAAGTTGAAATGTTTATCAAAAGTTGGGAAATTGAGAAATCTTTTGATGTAACAACAAGAAGACCCATTAGAAATTGCACAGAGGATAATTGTACATATTGTATGGAACTCTTACAGAAGTGGGTTTTTGCACCTTGTCACAAAAAAGTGAGTGCAAAGTTATTATAAGTACACAATAGGGGAGGAAAGCTTGTGGTGCCAAAAGATCAAACTCAAATTTGAGTAGGCTATGGTAGAATTGTAATATATAGGCAGACATGGCGGGAAGGTGGAATTTTTTACTGTTTCTCAAACGATTGAAAATGCCTCTGACTCAACAGTCTTTAGGCTAAATCTCCACATTCTAAATGAGACCCTTGAAAACCACCACTTAGCAAATTTCATCTTCCTATCTGGCTCCAGAATGAGTGCAATTGATTAAATAACTGTCTCCCTAATTTTTTGCAGCAGAATTTGAAAATGCAGAAAATGCTGTAAGAAGGAAGTGAAATTAAACTTCCTTTTTCTACCGATAAACCAGGTTTCATATGCAAAAATGAGTCACTGGGCCTTAAATAAATTTGAATGAATAATAAATGAATAAAAATCATTTGGGGAATTATTTATTTCTTGATATAGGAATTGTATTAATATTTCAGCAACTTTTATTAAACAGCTACCATGTTTCCCCCGCAAAAAGACCTGGTCTTATTTTTTTCCCCTCCGAAAAGGTATTAGGGATCATTTTTGGGAGATGTCTTGTTTTGTTTTCACATATAGGAGTCAGCAAGCATGGGGGCTGATGGGACTGGGAGTGCTGCTACTGTCAGCTTTGCTCTCTCTGATCCACCATCTGCTTGCCTACGGCTGCAATGAGCCAAGTTCTCAGCATGCCCCAACCTCTGCCAGCCCTGCCTGCTGGTCCTCTGCTGCTAGTTCACCTCTCAGTTGCTGTCTAAAGATCGTATGCCTCCCCCCACCCCACCCCCCGTGCCTCTGCCAGTGCCACTACTGTGAGGCGAGGCAAGTGATGGAGAAGAGGTGGCACCATGCTGCTGCCCCTGTACTCTCAGCCCCCACACATTCAACTTTGTCCTCAAGCTCCATTGCACACTCCGCAAGCAAAGACAAACAGTAGGATGGATCACATGCTTTTCTTCTGCCTCTGCTTTCTCCTGCTGCTTGGAGGGACTGGGCTGTGTGGGCTGCAGCTGCTTCTGGACAGCATCGGCCCCCACGCACCTGCTTGCTGCCTCCTGTGCTGGCCACGCCCACTCCATTAATGACACTCTGAACTAGGGATTATTTTGGGAGTAGGTCTTATATTGTCAGCAGCATGAAAAATCATGCTAGGGCTTATTTTTGGTGTAGATATTATTTTCAGGAAAACACAGTATATTGATTGTGCTTTGAGTTGTATAAAATATGAATTAAAAATATGTTAATATGAAACTATGGATTGTTTTTCTCAATTTTTCCAGATTACTGATTTATCAAATATATTTGATCTAGGTCTCACCACAAGATTTTTGTGAAAAAATGTGGGTTAACAATACCTATTTTGAAAATTATGAATGTGATGCACTTTCTGCATATGTAGCACTATGTAACAAGCATAATATCTGCATTAAGTGGAGGACACCAGATTACTGTTGTAAGTTTAATGCCCACATTCCTGATCATTTCATTTTTACTTGGCTTGTGCATTTTAGTTTGCTAGAAATTAATGATACACAGAAGGCTAGATTTAGAAAGGAGCCACTCAGATTTACATTTTGCTTAGAATTCCACTCAATAATATTCTATATGTTAATAAAGATAGTTATTAACTAAATGCTAATACAGGTAGTCCTCAATTTATTATCTTAATTGAGCCCAGAATTACCATCGTGCTATGGCAGTCTTTAAGCAGGCTACTTGCATGACTCTTCCTGATTTTACAATCTTTTTTTGCAGGAGTTTTTTTTAAAAAAATATAATATCTGCAATGGGCATATTTTGCTGGAAACAGAAATAAACATTGGTTTTCTGTCATTTTTTAAAATAAATTGCAGTCACATGACTTCAGAATACTGAAAATGGGTATAAACATGGGCCAGTGCCCAAAACACTTAATTGTTTTCTAATTTTAGGGTCTATTAGTTGTATTATTTAATGTTTATCCTTTGATGACAAGGAAACAATTTACAAATTGTACAGACTAAACCTGGTCATTTAGAACTATGATTCACAAGAAATGTTTCCTCTTGCCACCTTCTTTCTTCCCTTTTCTAATGAACATTAAGGAAATCTCAGCCATATTAATTTTCTTCCACATGTAGGGCTTGCTTGTCCTGATGGGAAAGAATATCACCCTTGTGTGCAGCCCTGTGATGCAAAAACGTGCCTAAATAAATGGTTTTATGAGGAATCATCATGTTCCTATTTAAGAGAAGACTGTGTTTGCAAAAAGGGGACTATTCTTCATAGAACAGACTCTGACCTTTGCATTCCAGAAGAAAAATGTGGTGAGTAAGCCTATTAATAATATGCTAGCATAGTTTCAGATGCAAGTGTTCTTGCTTTCTGGTGGGACAGAGGCATGATTTTTTATCTTTTTTTTATCCAAATAATATAAAATTAATTAACTGTCCAATATAGCTCCAAAATTTATATTCCCTAACGGTTACAGCTAGGAAGCTGATATTTTACTGCAGAGATTTTACTGTAAAAGTAATCATAACTTCATATATCCCATTAAACTAATAGTGATTATTCTCATTTAAATCTGGAATTATACTTTCCAACTGTTTTGGAATTTGAAAGAGCTTTATGAATGTTATGAAATGTCAGTTTGCTGGTAAAAATCCTTCAGAATATGTTAATTTCAAAATGATGAATTATAATTTCTGAGGCTTAAGGTAAAACAAAATAAAAAAAGGAATCCAATATGATTATTTTATTGACAATAAAAGTTCTGGCAGGGCTTCGGTGGCGGCAGGAATCTGCGATCATGCACAGTTTCTGCTTGCTGCTGGAGTGCCCTGATCCAGCCGGATTCGGGGCTATAGTTACCCTGTAGAGGTAACTGAAGATAGGGGAGATTTGGCAGGGGTTGGGAGAATTGCAACTCCCCTCCTCAGCTGGCTTAACTCCCTTTTCCGAAAGCGATGGAGCGGCGGTCAGAAATGGCCGCCACAAAGAAGCACTCATCCGGAAAAGAATGTGCAGGAGGAAGCTGAGAAGTGAAAGTTTTGGCTGACCGGGATAACAAGCAATATTCAAAATACCCTGGAATTTAAATTTTATCAAAGATACGTTGCTCCCAAAGAAGATATGGAAGCAGCGAACGAAAGTGAAAAGGGAAAGTTTTTTTTTTTCTCTTTCTCACTCTCCTTCCTTATGGTGACAGCAGATGAATGAGAAATTGGAAAAACCCGCTTTGGCATCAGCAGGTAATTAAACTGGAAAATTAAAGCCAAGGGGACAATAAAGATTTCTGAACATTGAAAAAAAAATTTTTTTTGCTGTAAGTGGGAAGGGAGAAGAAAAGAATTAAGATTAAGATTTTGCTGGAGGAGGCTGCTTGGAATTTAAAAGACTAGAGCTAAATTGTAACAAGACTTCTAAAAGATACATTTTAATTGGAACTTTGTAACTGAATTGACCCAGGAAGAGAAAGTATAAAAAGAAGAAAGTGTTAAATGAAACAGTCTGTGTGTATTTGGATTGCTTGGTGACTTTGGGACTCTTGGAAATTATTATTTGAAAGATTAAAAACATTTGGGTTGTTTAAAAAATTTTCTGCAATGGCATTACTTGTCAATGAACTGAAAATGGAATTTAAAAAGTATAAAGAAGAGGAACAAGAAGGAAAGGGCTCTTTTGGCTCCGTTTTTCGTTTCTTAGAAATGGCGATTGCTACTTATGGGAAACTACAAGAACAAGAAGATTGGGATGAAGAAGAAGCCATCTTTAATGAACAAGCAACTTTAGCTGGGGAAGAAAGGGGAAAGGGGGGGGGGGAAAGAGAATGGAGAATTTAAGACAATAAAAGTTCTTATATCACTTGCAGTATTGAATTAAGCCAGGCCTGTATTTTAACGTTAAGATAGGTAATCATTCTGGATCTGTATATATAATTGCAGTCATATGAGCCTGAGGTCAAAACTATATACAAGAGGCATTAATTAATTGCAAGAGTGAAAATTTCTTAGGTGCAAATAACAAATTCTTGTAATATTTCCTTTCTCTCCTTAAAAATGTCAGCATTTATTTTGCTCCAGTTTCTTACAAACATCAGCAGTTATTTAACTTTCAGCTGCTGGTGACAGATATAGTTTATAGTCTTATATCATAATGTAAACAAGATGAATGTCATTTTTAAAAAATTGTTTTTTTACTTTTTTTAATAGCCTGTTCAGATAACGAAGGGCATCCTCACTCTATTGGGGAGATTTGGATTGGCTACAATAAAGGATGCTGCATGTATAAGTGCATGGAAAATGGGAGCATTATTGATACAGAGCCTGAATGTGATAAGCAGCCACCTCCAATATGTGATAGAGAGGCTGAAGTGATTGTCAGTGTAATTGAAGAACAAACTTGCTGTCCAAAAAATATCTGTGGTATGTAATATTTATGACGGGCGTGATATTCAGTTGATAGGAAAGAATCTGTGTGTGGTATAGAGAAATCTAAAATATTTGGCACAATTATTTATTTGTCTACACCCCTTTATTTTTACAAATAGCTATTTTCCCCATAACAACAACCCTGTGAGGTAGGTTCGGCTGAGAGAGTGGTTTACCTAAAGTTACCCAGGTAGCTAGTGGTACTTGAACTTACAGTCACCCATTTTCAAACTTGGTACCTTAATCACTAGACCAAATTGGCTCATAGCTAATGCATAGTGAGAAAATGATCTGTCATTGTAAAAGTCAACATTTAAGTTTAAAACATCTATTCACCATGTTTCATTTCTGTGATCTAATATGAGCACAGCCCATGAAAAATCTTCCTCTTTTGAATTATGGTAGAAATATCCATTTCATCATTTGTTGATTAAAGTCAAAATGGCAAATATGAATTGAAACACATTTTTGTTAACACCTTCTCATGGAAAAGTGGGAGATGGCATTCAGGCTTATACACATGTTTAATTATGGAAAATTAGAAGGTCAATTAAGACATGAGCATTCCAAAACCACTCTGTAAGTTGAGAAAGGAATTTTGCAAACATTTTCAATTCTCTTTTAGAAGTAAAAAACACACACCACCCAACATTAGGTAGAATACCAGAGATACCCAAATGACAATCTAGTTGTATGCTGAGCTAATTCCAGTGACATAAATTATTCTCTATATAATTTCAAGGTTCTCTGTTTTTAGTTTAATGCGTACATTAAAATAATGCTATATTAATATAAGAAGCCAAATAGCTTTAGATATGAGTTTTTATGTTAGCACAAATTGTTCTTTGCTTTTAATATACTCTATATATTTAATATAACATTAAGTTATTTTAATATCAACAATCTTAAAATGCTTTCTTTGGAAAAAAAAAAAGTTAGTTCATATTCACATCATCTTGTTTATTAATCAGAACTTCTGAAATTCCCCTTTGAGTTCAGCACTGGCTTCTTTCAAAACATACCTACGAATCACAAAATCAATTTCTCCATCTATCCATCCATCCATCCATCCATCCTTCCATGGTCCACCCACCATTTATCTTCCTATATGCTAGACAATAAACATTTTCCATGAAAAGGTTAGGTAGAGATATATTGATTTGATTCAGAACTCTGTTTTTTTGTTTTAGAGTGCAACATGACTCTATGTACCCCTATTATCCCGATATGCAAAAGTACTGAGAAGCTAACACTCAGATATACTCCTTTCTCCTGTTGTCCTCAATACCAGTGTGGTAAGTGATAGGATGAAGAATTTATTTATTTATTTATTTATTTATTTATTTATTTATTTTTGTCAATTGCTGACAAGATAATAGGTATAAGTAAAAACATAGTTATGGATATATACAAGAAAAATAAAAAATAAAAATAAAAGAAACAATAGGACAGGGACAGTAGGCACATTGGTGCGCTTATGCACGCCCTCTACTGACCTCTTAGGAAAGGAGTGAGGTCAATAGTAGAAAGTCTAAGGTTAAAGGTTTTGGGGAAGAAACCACAGAGTCAGGTAGAGTATTCCAGACATTGACCACTCTGTTGCTGAAGTCGTATTTCCTGCAATCAAGTTTGGTGCGATTAACCTTGAGTTTGTATCTATTGTTTGCTCTTGTGTTGTTATGGTTGAAGCTGAAGTAATCATTGACAGGTAGGACATTGCAATGTATGATTTTATATGCTATATTTAGATCAGACAGAAGGCGGCGTAGTTCTAGGTATAGAATTTCAAGTTTGGTGGCATAAGGTATTCTACAATGAGTAGAGGAGTGGAGAACTCTTCTTGTGAAATATTTCTGGACTTTCTCAACTGTGTTAATATCAGATATGTAATGTGGGTTCCAGACTGATGAGCTGTATTCAAGTATTTGTCTAGCAAATGTTTTGTATGCTCTAGTTATTAGTGTAATATTACCAGAGAAAAAGCTACGTAAGGTTAGGTTAACAACTCTTAACGCCCTTTTGGCTATGTAGTTACAGTGGGCTCTAGCACTTAGGTCATTAGAGATGAGTACTCCAAGATCTTTGACAGAGTTTGGATCATCAATAAGGTGACTATTCAGACTATTTATTTAGAGGTGAATAACTTCTAAACTCTTAAAACAGCAAGTCATTGGTTATATTTCACTAGATAGCCTGCTTTGTTTTGTTTTGTTTTGTTTAATTCAGAATGTGATATATCAGCATGTCCCAATGTTACTCGTCCAGAATGCCGAGAAGATCAGTTTATTGTGGAAGTGAAATTGGATGACACGTGCTGTTTCTCCCATTTGTGTGGTAAGCTTTATTTATCATTATCACTATTATAATGTCTTCTTGTATTATATTGGTGAATATAATGTAATTTAGCTGCTATGGATATTCTTGTGTATTGTATCATATATAACATGATCTTTATGTTTCTCTTGAAGTTTGTGAATCTTGCATTGAACCTATTCCAGAATGCAATGAAGAAGAACTTCTTGCAGTAGATCTTAGTACTGCACATTATTGTTGTCCTCATTATCACTGTGGTAAGTTTTGTGTTGGATTACATATCTTGGAATGATTATTACTTCTTTTATTGGGATTTTTCTTTGTATTCAGTCATAAGCTTATACTTATGCTTTTAATAAATACAGTACAGTATAAACACATTTATACTGTAATAAATACAGTATAAATGCAGCTGCCATAAAGTAGAGTCAATTATTATCTTATTGCTAAGATAATTGCTATTCTAAAAATTCAGGAAAATAATCAGGCAAAAATGTATTTAGCTATGTACAGCTATTCAAAATCTAAGCATGTATAATCTAAATGAGTTGTTCCTTAACTTAAGGGTTGCCTATGGCAGAAAGAACAAAAATAACAGTCAGCCATACATATTTGTAGTTTCACTTTAGATTTTTTAAATTTAATGTTGATATCTAAACATCTAGACTTTACCTGGTGCCTGCCTTAGCCATTCAATGGGAAAAATCTGATACCAAAAAAGTGATGAAAAGTTATGTATTTACATGTATTTACTTGGAGTGATGCTTTGGGATTCTGTTTTACAAGCAACTATTTTCTATACTATAGATTTGAGTCATCATGAGTAAGGTTGTCTCCTTTATCTAACAGTTTGTGATATGAAATGTGTTCTGCTACTGAAACCACAAAATTATTGTTGATTACTTGAACCTAAAATTATTATTCATTTCTAAACCATTAATTTAAGGTGGAAGGTAGAAATAATAATATAATACAAATAGTAGAATACTAGAAATAATAATATAATAGAGAAAATTTTTATATGTTTACTTTCTAGTGATATTGTGGCAATAATCTTTTCAAGACATAATTTCTCTTTCTCTAGTATGTGAAGAGAATCTGTGTCCTACACCTCTTACGAATTGCTCTGCTGATATGAAACTGATGAAAAAAAGCATACCTGGACAGTGTTGCCCAGACTGGAATTGTGGTATCTATAATTTGCATTTTTTCTAACTATATAAATGAATGAAATACAACTTCTGTTCCCATTGATGTGGTTATAGTGAACCCTTCTCTCTTATTTTCTCCAGAATGTGATTGTGAGAATGGTACTGTACCAAGCTGTAAGTTGGTAAGAAAAGTTTACTTTTAAAATTGTTTTGGAATTCTTATTTTTCTTTCATTTTAAATGTTTCTATGCTACCCTGTCCTACACTGACAGCAATTATAAGTTTGCAAATCATGTAAAATGAATAAAATTATGTCAGTGTATCGAACAAAAGTATCTTGACAGAACTGAGATATACTGTGCAGTAAATTCTGATAAAATCACAACTAATGATAGATGTAGGTCAGTGGTGGCTAACCTTTTTGGTCTCCTTTGCCAAAAATTGTGTGCACTCTTGCACTTGTGCGCTTGCATGCCAGCACCCAGAAGGCAATGCGCGTGCCCCCCCACATCCCCTGCGTATGCACGCTCAGTCCCCCCACACCGCCCCATTATCTGCATTGCACCTCACAGATTATTTTTTGGCTGGTCTGAGGCCTTTTTCAGCCTCCCAGAGGCTGTAATACTGGAAGTGATGAAACGGGCCTATTATTTGTCCTGCAAAGCCTGCATAGGCTTTTTTCAAGCCTCTGGGAGGCTGAAAAACCAGCCAAAAAGTCAGCTGTGAGGCACGTACATGTGCAGTGACTCAAGTTTGCCTGAGGCTCATGTGCCAGCACAAATGGCTCTGTGTGCCAACTGTGGCATGCGTGCCATATGTTCGCCATCACAGATATAGGTAGAAGAATTTTGGTAAACACACTTGTTAAAATAAGCTTTCAGAAATCGTTCTGTAATCAATCCATGTCAAAGCAATGTTAAAAAGACAATGCCTGTAAAGAAAGCTGAGATTGAACGTAGAAAGTGAGAGGAATAGGGGCCAAATATGAATAATGACAAATACATACATAGACAATAGATTAGGTGACAGATAGATGATAGATAGATAGATAGATAGATAGATAGATAGATGATAGATGATAGATAGACAGATAGATAGGTGATAGTGTGTGGCATAGTATGCTATAGTATACTGTTACTAATTCATTTATAGTAATAACACAATGTTTGTCTATTATATTCTTCTACTTTTATATCAGAGCATAGCAATTTATGATAGAAATTTATTTGTATCTGTGTTATTCAAGTTATAGTTTTCTTTTTTGACTTTTGACAATTATCTAAATAAATTCATAAAGTTTTCTTGTCAGTATTTTCAGAAATGGCTTGTCTTTGTTTTCTTCTTAGGGAAGTAATTGACCCTAAGTTACCTCATTAACTTTGTGTCTAAGGCAGGACCAAAAGCAATTTCTTCATTTTAGTTCAACACCTTAACCAATACAGCAGATTGGTTATTAATCATATTAATACCAATATGAAAAGCAATGAAGATGTGACTTGATAGATATTTGCTGTAGTTTTTATAAGTTGTAATTATGTTCTTAGCTATTGTGCTTGTTGGACAAATCTAAACCTTAGACCAGAGGTCTCCAAACTTGGCCACTTTAAGACTTGTGGTCTTCAACTCCTAGAATTCTGGGAGTTGAAGTCCACAAGTCTTAAAGTGGCCATGTTTGGGGGCCCCTGCCTTAGACAATAAATATAAATACTGTCCTAAAATGGCAACATTTGTTACATTTATAGAGAATTATTGTACTAAGGCATTCTACTATCCATATTGCCCAATATTTAGTATCTAGACACAATATGCCTTTCTGCCGCATATAATAGAATGCCTTGGGGCAATCTAACACCTACAAAAAACATTCACAGCATTGATCAATCAACCAGTTGGTCTTAAAAACAGCTATACAGTTGTGATACACATACAAAATGGTTACACATTCATGGTTGCCATCCTCAATTTTTTTACTACCATTTTTTTACTACCCTGCAGTTATACATGTTTAGTTGCCTTCCCTGAATATGCTGCTGTATCAAGATTGAAAAGTAACAGCAGCTCCCATTTGACTTTCTCATTTCTGGTGAATATCAATGTATTTTGGGTTTTGTAGAAAAAAACTAACAAATGCAATAATAACAAGGAGGAGATGGACCTAGTGCTCTTAATATGGGCATGTGGCCTAATGGTTCCTCCAAACTTACATTCAAACGTGTAACAATATTTTGCTGCAAAAATGCATTTAATAATTTTTAAGTTCACTTTCTTACAAATGAAAGTACCTTATAAATGAATGTATGCGATTGAACAATGTATCATTGAAATATTTCATAGGGTGAAGTTTGGAAAATAAGTGCTAATGCTTCTACTACATGTGGATGTCCACATTACATTTGTGGTATGTACATATGTGTATGTGTGTGTGTGCGTGTGCAGGCATGCATGCCTATGAGCATTCTTTTCAATAACTTTTTTAAATATTGAGTTTTCAGTAATATAGTTGTTAAGACAAGTTCTATATACTTTATGTGCTTACAATTTTCAGTAATCTTCTAGTTTAAAATAAGAAAGGGAGAGATTCTGTTAGAATAGAAATATTCACATGAACTAGCATTCTGCTTCCCGTACTTAGTTGTATTAAATTTATTAAGGGAACAATAATACATAGATAGCTAAATATATTTTGTTATTTATGTTCTATTAAGACCTAAGCTATGTATTAAATATTATTAAATTCCATTTATCCTAAAATATCAGGGCAGTATGCAAGGAAAAGAAAAAAATACAAATACAACTGGCAGTGATCAATTCCATAGCTGGAATGCTGACAACAACAATACTAGCCAAGGTCACTCTAACACTAAGTTCTAAGCATCAACCATTGAACTTTGCAAATAAATCACAGTTCATCATCAAACGTTTCTTATTGTATGTGAAAAAAAAATGATACTAAATAGTACTCTTGTTTTGCATACTCTGTTTCCTTCCTTCCTTCCTTCCTTCCTTCCTTCCTTCCTTCCTTCCTTCCTTCCTTCCTTCCTTCCTTCCT